CTCCAGCATCTGCAGTTCCTACTACCTCATTTTTACATATGCCTTGTATTGCTGCTGGCATACCCTCTTTCAACTGTTCACTTAATTTCCCCTCCTTGGTGGTAATGGTAGAGTTCAGAATATGCCAGGCCATGAGGTTATAGATCACACTGATTATGGCTTTTTTGATGACCACCTGGATGAGTAGCTATATCTGTTCTGAATTTATCCCATTTAACACAATGATAATACTGTTACAGTCTTATTGCTTTTTTTCTCTTTTTGTAACACAGCCAGCAATGATAAAACTCTACTCCCAAAAGACTGCTCAAGTCAACCTGTGAATGAATAAGTTAGGACATGACTTTTTTAACCTAATTCCATTGTGACCTTTTCAGATTTCTAACTGAAATGTAAAGGAATTTAATGAGAAAAGGAAGTTTGTTCAGCTTATATGTGCTTCCTAATAATTGGTATTTTAGTAACAGTATGCAATAGATGCAGAAACTGTACAGTTGGAGGAATAACTCCATCTATATAAATATTGTCAAAATACCTTGGGCTGCACTCATGTCATGAAAATTCAGAGCAATTTATCCGTTGAAGGCTTTTAAAAAATTATTCTCAAGATATGGAGTTAGTCAAATCAAACGTAAAAATAGATGAATACCTGGAAATTTACAGGGGTTCTCAGGCAGGTGACTGGGAAAATCTCAGGGCATTAATATTTAAAAAAGGCTTATTTCCAGAATTCCCCCAATTTGCAACAGAAATTACAGTGGTGATTCAGAAAAGTTTCCTTTTAGATGACCAGAAGTACATTTTCAGTATTTTCCACTTTATTTAGATTTACAGCATTCACAAAAATTTGTATTTATATTGCACCTTTCATATAATACAAAGGTGCAAGGGGCTTCACAAAGCATTACAAATCAAAGTATAATACTGAACTATGTAAGGAGATTTAAGTTAGATGAACAAATTCTTGGTCAAAGAGGTAGTTTTTATGGAGAGTATGTCCTAAGGGAGGCAAGTGAGATGAAAATATAAATATTGTGGCCTAAACAATTGAAAGTATGACCACCATTTGACCGAGTGTGGCGTCAAAGAGCCCCAGCAAAAGTGAAGTCAACAGGTCAGTGGTAAAACTCTCTGCTGGTTGGAGTCATACCTGGCACATAGAAAGAATGTTGTGATTGTTGGAGGTCAGTCATCTCAGCTCCAGGAAATTTCTGCAGGAGTTCCTCAGGGTAGTGTCCTAGGCTAAACCATGTTTAGTTGCTTCAGCAATGACCATCCCTCCATCATAAAGTCACACATAGGGATGTTTGCCAATGGTTGCAGTGTTCAGCACCATTTGAAACTCTTCAGATAGTGAGGCAGTCCATGTCCAAATTCAGTCAGACCTGGGCAATATCCAGGCTTGGGCTGAAAAGTGGCGAGTGACATGTGCACTGCACAAGTACCAAGCAATGACCATCTCCAATAAGAGATAATCTACCTACCTACCCCCTGCCGACTCTCAATGGCATTGTCTTCACTGAATACCCCAAAATCAACATCCTGGGGTTACCATTGCCTAAAAACTGAACTGGACTTGCCATATGAATACAGTGACCAAAAAAGCAGGTCAGAGGAACATCCACTCCCTCCACCACCAATGCTCAGTAGCAACAGTGTGTACTATCTACAAGATACACTGCAGAAATTTGCCAAAGCTCCTAGACAGCACCTTCCAAACCTGCAAGCATTACCATCCAGGAGGATGAGGGCAGTAGACACACAGGAATACCACCACCTGCAAGTCCCCTTCAAAGCTACTCACCATCCTGATTTGGAAATATATCACTGTTCCTTCAATGTCATTAGGTCGCCATCTTTGAACTCCCTTTCTACTAGTGTTGTGGGTCTACCTACAGCACAGGGACTGCAGCGGTTCAAGAAGGCAACTCACCACCACCCACTCAAGGGCATCTAGGGATAGGCAATAAAATGATAGCGCAGCCAGCAACATCTACATCACGCCAGTGAATTTTTTAAAAAGGTCCTGAGAACTTAAAATCAGGAACTTACAAGAGGCCAGAATTAGAGGAGAACAGATATCTTGGAAGGTTGAGGGACTTGAGGGCATCACATATGAAAGAAAGGTTAAGGGTTTGAAAAGAAAGATGACAATTTTAAATTCACAATTCTTATGTTCAGTTCCACATAAATATTTTTACTGTTGTACAAGTTGTTCTTTGACAGGAGACCATGAATCAGCACACTATAATTATGCAACTTTTACAGTTAGGGTTCACCAGAATTCATCAACCCTTATAGGAAATGTTACACACAATAACAAAACAAATAAAGTTTCCTTCAGTAATCCCCATTCATAAACACACCATCTATTTATGTCACAGATACAATAATGCACTATACTTGAGTATAGAAAGATAGTTGTATGGTCCTGACCCTTTAATAACCGACTGACTTCCTTTTTGCCATTATTGACTTCATACTTGCAATGCTTGATTAATCAACTTCTTCTTTGCTGGTGTGAGCTTTTCTGGAAAGTGAATGTTAAACTGGATCACGAGATTTCCCTTTTGTAATGGATCTTTGGATAAAGGCATTCCTTCTCCTGGAACTACTTTGGTATATTTAGGACTAGGAAAAATAAAATAGTAGGAATTATAAAGAATCAGGGCATTTTTCCTAGCTTATAAAAAAAGAAAGAAGAAACAACAGGCACTTATGCAGCAACTTAACACAATCTCAGGAAGTTCTAAAAGCACTTTTACAGGTAATGAAGTACTCTTGATGTGTAGTCACTGTAATCTATCTGTTCGCCCCAATTAGTGCACATCAAGGATCCAAAAACAGTAGTGTAGTAACATACCAATGCAATGATCATAGGAATTATGAACAGGAGGAGACCTTTTGGCCCCTTGAACCAGCACCATCATTCAATAAGATCAATGCTGATCTGATTATGGCCTCAACACTACTATCTAGTTTTACAAAGTTCAATGTATTAACAATTTTTAAAATATTGATTTTAACTGTAACTCAATTTTAACATTTTGTATTTGTAGATCAGAAAAAGAAGCAGCTCAGATATTAGATGTGGAACTTTTGTTGCTCATTCTTTGAAAACCAGAAACTCAAACTATTTTTTGAAATTGTCTTTTTTCTGCCCTTGGTGTTGTCTCAAATATTTATCTCACAGCCAACATCATTAGAAGAACAGATACAAACATATGAAATAAGGAGCAGTAGGCCACTTGGCCCTGATTACTTCACATTCCTGTTTATCACCAATATCCTTTCACACCCTTGCTAATTAGAATCCATTAACCTCTGCCTTAAAAATATTCAAAGATTCTACTTCCGCTGTTTTTGGAGGAAGAGCATTCCAAAGACTCATGACCCTTTATAAGGAAAAATGTCATATCTCTGTTTTAAATGGGCAATGCTTTATTTTTAAAAGGTGAGCCCAGTTTATGTAGTTTTTACCTGGGCAGGAAGGAATGTGCTAATTCTGGACAGGAATGCCAGGGTGGTTACCTGGCATCACAGCTTCTCCGCGACTTCATCCAACTGCATTGTCATTACAACTTCCTAGTATGCTTCATGGTCACACTACTCTTCCGTCCTTCCTCCATGCAACACATCATTAACAAACCACTAGCCTCACCATAACATCATGACTGTTTTCAGAACAACTCTCACTTCATCTCAGTCCTTCAGGACTTGACTTCAAAGCTCATAGACATTTATGACTTGCATGGTTTTGCTAGATCATTTTGTGTGCATGGACACATATGTACCTTATGCATTCAAAGAGGATGCCTCTTAGTTTGCTTCCATAGTGCTCAATCACTGCACTGACTTTGAGGCTGTGACACCGTTATGGCTTCCATTGCTTTTCAGCATACAAGCAATTCACTCCTAATTTACAGGCTGTCAGCATCTGGTGCTTGCATTGCTTTTTAGCAGGTAGAATCTTCAGCCATAGCTTACAGGCTGTCAGCTTCTCTGGCTGAATTGCTGTTTAGAGCAGAAAGGGAGGCAAGTGGATAGGCACGGCTGGGATTCAAGAAGGTGGACATGTGCTGACATGCTCTGTGCTTGTGGATGAAGTCCCCGATTGCTGATACTACAGGGCTCTCTCCTGCCTGGGGTTGAGCAGTGCATGGTGAATGGCAGTTCTCTAAGCATAGCAGCTTGGGGTGTTTCTTCCTTGGCCAGCTGTGGGGCTGCTCAGTCAAGTGCTCACCAGCTTGTGCTCCCAAACTTTCTATGGCTGATGTTCCCTCAGAGGTGTCAGTATCTGAGCTGGTGGAGAGATGTAGGAGGCAGCCTTCTCAACACCTCCTCTGAGGCCACAGTATTCTGGTTCTCAGATGCTGAGGAAATGATTTCTGTTGCAGCAGGCTATTTCTCCACCGAGATTGCGGACATCCCTGGTACCTGCAAGACAAAAGAGAGAGAAGTCATTGTGGCTGGTGGTGAATAATGAATGACACTGACAGCAGGGTTAATGTGAGAGTTTCAGTGGAATGAAGAGTGGTACTTACTTGGGACTTGGATGTCTCAACATTACCCCAAAAAGCAGTACGAGTCATCTCCTTTGAGGGCCAGGATTCTCTTCTCATAGGGGCTGAGAAGTCAGATGTTGTGTATCTCTCCACCCTTTATGCCCCAGTGTGGGCTGTCTACTGCGATAGGGGAAGAAAGGGAGGAATTGAATGAGATAAAAGTGGGTGTGTCACATCTGTTAGCGCTGGTGCAAATCGTTGAAAAATGATAAGGTGTTCCAAGGAAGTAGGTAGCGCAGAGTTCATATAGAGTTGATGATGTGAAAGGTTGGGAGGAAATGAGAACAAGTGAGGTGTTGCAAGCAAAAGTGAAAGTGGTAGAGCATGAGGCTTGGTGGGAGGTCAGTGCAGTAGCAGAGATAGACTGTGTGTGAGGTAGCAGAGAGAAGTGTGTAGCACCTATCCTGGAATGGCAGGAAAGGTCTTTGACCTTCTTGTAGCATTGCTGGCCATTCTTCCACACCCTGAGACTGCACTGACTCAGGTGGCAAGCTCAGATCAGGCTGCCAGGGTCTGCCAGTCTTCTGGGAAGAGGACATCCCTCCCCTGCACACTCTGTCACCAGGGCCTCCTCGTTCCTATTGGAGAATCATAGCACACCTTTCCTTTTCTGACATCTTCACACTCTATGTGCATCAGCAAATAGGTCAGCTTCAGAATGCCAGTGCTTGCCAGGTGCCTGGGGCCTTTTAAATATGGCCTGGGCACCAGGGATACTGGTTTTACAGCAGATATTTGCTGCCTGATGAGTTGCTCTGGAATGGCACGCTGTAAAGAAGGTCTAGAATTGGACAAGATGGGCATAATAAGGCAGGGTAAGTCATTAATGAAGTATGGTTGGTAAGATGTGGTGAGAAATCTCACTAGGCATCACAGCAAAAAGCCCTTCAAATAACTCAATGTAACTAACTGGCAGTAGCCAAAAAAACATAAGATTCAGCCCAAAGTTGTTTTACAAAGCACATGGGTGACTACAATGTTTTAAGTAATTAATTTGTGATTTAGAACTCTGAAACTGACCTGATAAAACAAAAGGTATTTTCTAGTCTTGTGCATTTTTAGATGGACCTAAATGTATTGCAGCTAGCAGAGCCAAAAAGGCATGATAACTTTTTCAGCGCTCCTGGGAGAAATGGGGAGGGGATGGGAAATAGAAAACTAGAATTATTGCTCCTTGTTGCTGATATGGCGACCCCAGGAGTTTATAGATGTGGGGGAATGCAAGATCATGTCCAACTGTTATTTTTCCCAAGATTCACAATCTATTTTCATACCTGAAAATAAGCATTTCGCTGAGGAATCAGCAAAGTGTTGGATTTCTGTTTACAATAAAGCAGCATGAAAATAGCTAACAAACACTTACTGGACAATATCATTGATTGGAATGCTGAGAAATCTGCCATCAAGTGTCTCAATTTCAATGGTGTGACCTGTTAGTGCCTAAAATTCAAATAACAATTAAATATTAAAACATATATATGGATTGCATAAAATCTCTAAAAACTGAGAAAATGTATTCTTCAGCTGCTGTAATACTTTTTGACATTTTAAATCTCTGGAGACTTGTTTTTGCCCTCACATCCAGGTGATAACTCATGTTGGAGTACATTTTCATTGTTTGGTGGCAGACCAAGCAAATCTTTGGGGGAATGTTTCTGTCAGTTACACTTGACAGGCAGAGTTTGATCTTCCCCATATATAATCCCTCCACCAGGGTTGCTGTAAAACATTCCCAATTGCTTCCCTCATAGTTCCATACTCCAGGAACATGCCCATATTTTCTTGTTAAAATGAACCAATACTGATGTGATTGAATTTGAGTTCAGAATTTACTAATCTATTACTTTAAGCGGTAAAAATCATCATGGAAAGGACACAAAATATATTACCGTAAATCATGAAAGACAACATTGATGCACATATGGTCAATAGCATGAAGCGGTGGGACATCTAATTTCTTCCCATGATTACAGTTCTTACATGCTGAGTTCTTGACCTAAGTTACATCATCGAGAAAGTGTGTGGGGTGGATGTCTTGGAGCCCAAAGCAACAGGAAATTTGGTGGGATGAGTGACTTAATTTGGTGGGATGTGAAACTTTCATTTCCTAACAGCATACTGAGATCCAGCCATAGTCAGTGGTAAGTTTACTGTGGTGTAATGTAACATTTTTGCATGCCATGAATACTCATTAACAGGAAACAGTTTTCAATAAAGTCCTGCCTTTAAGATAAAATCTGTGGGGCATTAGAATCTTGTTTAAAGGTAGTATACACCTGGTAACTGCACATAACTACAGCACAAAGAAGGAACACAGGAGAATGGAGAAGGATGAGTCAGTGGGTAGAAATATAGAGTTGGAGGCATGAAGGTTTCAAAGACAAACCCAGGAGAGGGCAAAGTGGGAGGCTGGAGGCACAGAGGATTGAAGTGGGAAGGGCTCAATGTCTTGGATAAGGTGTAGGAGGGAGGTGGGAGGACAGTCAGCCAGAAAATAAGGGGCCTTAATATCGATTGTCCATCCTTCCAAAGGTGGGTTGATCTTAGGGTGTTCACTGGCAGATTCCTTTTAGGGCTTTGAGTTCATCCACAACATTTCAATTGCCCCCACTGGGAATGTTTCTGACAATGTCCTTACAATCCATAGAATGGAAGGGTAGCTAAACCTATGAGTTCAGCCATGTCCCATAGATAGACATAATTAAGAACATTCAATGAAGAGTGAAAACAAAAACTCAACATTGTTCCTTCCACAACAAAGCAAATGTCCCTAACTCCGGAAACCATCAGTATGTGCCAACAATGAGGCATGCCAATACATTTATTATGTAAACAAGAGAATAAACAGTAAACTGGAGAGTATTAAGAGGGATAGAAGAAGTGAGAGACCTTGGAATCTATGGCCAGAGGTCTGAAAGTACAGTAGAGGTGGCCATGGTGATAAAGAAAAGGTAAAGGGCTCATCATACTTGCACAAGCTCTCCAAATGAGCATCTCACTTAATGCCACAAGAGGGAATATTTTGTCCCTGTTTACCCTATCCAGACTGCCTATGATTTTTAGTACTTCAATGAGCTCTCCTGTCATCATTTTCTCAAAGTGGAGCAATCCCAGCTTCTCTAATCTATCTTCATAACCGAAATTCCTCATCCTTAGAGCCATTCTTGTAAACGTCTTATGCAGTTTCTCTATTACCTTCACATTCTTCCAGAAATGCAACACCCAAAACTGAATTCAGTATTCCAGCTGCAGCCAAACTAGCATCATATTTGTTCAACATTATCTTCTTGCTTTTGTATTCTATGCCCATGTTAATGAAGACCAGGACACTGTATGCTTTATTAACTGCTCTCTCAACCTGCCCTGCCACATTTAATAACTTATGCACAGATACACCCAAATCCCTCTGGTCCTGGACTCCCTTTAGATTTAGACTCTTTATTTTGTCTGTCTATATTCTTCTTAACAAAATGATTTTCCCACTCCACCAACTTGTCCATTTCCTTTTGAAGTTTTACACTCACCACAGTTTACACTGCTTCCAAGTTTTGTATCACCTGCAAAATTTGAATTTGTGTCCGGTACACCAAAGTTAATGTACATTAATATACTTTGGGAAAAGCCAGGGTCCCAGCAATGACCCCTGGAGCATTTTACTACAAATCTTCCCTCGGCCTGAAAAACATCCATTAACCATTACTCCGTTTCCTTTCACTCAAGCAGGTTTGCATCCATATTGTTCTGTCCCTTTTATTCCATGAGCTTTGGACTCTGGTTTGAACTTTGCTCACAAGTCTGTTGTGTGGCACTGTATCAAATGCCTTCTGGAAGTCCATGTACACTACATCAATAATGATATCCTGACCAACCCTATCTGATACCTCATCAAAAAACATTAGCAAGTTAATTAAACATTATTTTCCCCTAAGAAATCCATATTACCTCCTCTTAATTAACCCACATTTATCAATGTAATCTTGTCCCAAACTGTTATTTCCAGAAGTTTCCCAAACACTGAAGCTAAATTGACTTGTCTGTATTTTCCGGGTTTAACAAAGTTGTAAAGTTTGCAATTCTCCAGTCCTCTTGAACCATCCCCAATTCTAAGAGAGACTGAAAAACTATTGCCCGTGCCTGTGCAATTTCCATTCTTACTTCCCCCAGTATTCTTGAGTGCATCTCATCTGGTCCTGGTTTTTTGTCAACTTTAAGAAGCCAACCTATCCAATGCCACCTCCTTATCAATATTAACCCTTTCTAGGTACTGAACATCTTTTTTCACCATGGCCTTAGTTGTATCTTCTTCATTGGCAAGATGGAAGGTATTCGTTAACCACTTCAGTTACACCTTTATTTTTCATGCATAAAACCCTTTTTTGGTCCATAATTGGTCTTGCCCCTCTTCTTGCAATGTTATGCCTATAGAAGACATTGGGATTCTATTTTATATTAGCAGTCTCTTTTCATACTGCTGATTTGCTTTTTCACCACTCCTCTGAATCTTCTATATTCAGCCTAGTTCTCAATTGTATTTTCTATGTGACATTTGACACAAGCACTCTTTTTCTTTTTTATTATAAATTTATATTTTTCTCTCCATTAAAACTACAGGAATGAGAACTAGCTTTAACGTGTATTTATATTTACAAATAATCATAAATTAGTACCTTCCAGCAACTCCTGCAAGCAGCTACGACCCAAACATACTTAATTTTGGATACTGGCTGAAAATGTTGAGAGGGGTGCAGATGCTAGGCAGATGTGTACTTTCTAAAACTAAAATTTGGCTATGCAGCAAACAAAGAAAGACTCTTTTCACTTGGAAGCCGGAATGTGAAAACTACATGCACCAGAATGAATAACAATGTACAATTCACCACAATTGTAACCAAGAGAGCCCTGATTGATCTGGAGTTAATGAAGCTCGGTGTTGACATGACTGCAAGTCCTGGAACCGAGATCGAGGAATGTCGGGCTGAGTGTTAATTGGGCTAAGAGAGGTGCTATTAGCTGCTTTTGGATGGTATGGGAAACCTTTTGACCGCACAGTTTTCCGACAATGCCAAAAGGGCATTTTCCTGGATCCTGGAGTTCCATCTATTGGATTCAGGATAGGAATTCCCAATAGGGGAGGGAGTGAGTTGGGGGAAGAGGCAGTTGCAGAAGGGTATAAGGTCGGAGAAGGTTGCTGCAAGAGGTGTATGTGGGGAGAAGGAGGCTGCAATGAAGAATGGGGCAGGGAAAGAGGCTGCAAGAAATGGGTGAGAGTAAAAGGAGGCCGAAAGTATAATGTGGGAGAGGGGAGCGAGGCTGCAAGACAGGCGTGGGGGGAAAGGAGAAGGAGAAGGTGAAGGAGGGTGGTGACGAAGGTGCTGCAAGACGGGTGGGAGAGAGAAAAAGGCAGCAAGGGAAGTGTGGGGAGGACGATAGTTGCAAGTAAGGGAAGGGAAGATGCAAAGGAGAGAAAACAATTTTAAACCTGTCAAAAAAGTAATATCCAGCTAAGTGAAATCCAAGAAACATTTAAATCACTAAGGTGAAAGTTCCTTGCAAATGAATGTGGAATGTCTTATTTATGCCTGCATAATGAAAAACATGTAGTAAATACAATTGTTATGAACACCCTCAATTGTTCCATTTAAATCTGAGGGTGAGATCCAAGATTCAACAAATAGGATAGTAACTACTTGATTAAAATGTTCCTGTTTTGTACCCGTGTGATAGAAATGTAAATGACCTAACCAATCTATTGAAGGTGTGCTTAAGTTGCTGGCTTTTTGTATGGAGCTGTTTGTGTCAGTTATTTAAAAAAAATCTTTTATTATCTTATGTCTGCTGTCTTGCACTAATTTAATAACAGTGGAATACCATTCATATCTAGGAAATTAATGCTTTTCTTATTGTGTTTTAGCTTTAATGAAGAGTTGATTATGACTGAGGATATTGATGAATTATTCTCATTCTGCTTCTATTTTTCAGAATACCTCGTATGTCGACAGAATTACACAAGATATTGTTACTACATGATGGAATCATCTAATAATTCAGTTTGTGAAAATGAAAACATAGTCTCCAAAAACCAAAAAAAAAGCCACTGAAAATTTAGAAAGTAGTCCTCGAGGAAATCTCAGGAGGAGACCTGAAGAAAGAAAAATGTTTTGACTCCTGAAGCACTCCCAAGTATTTTGATAGTAATTAGCAGTGGCGGTTTCAGTAGATGAGACATATCTGCAGGATGGAAGATGATTGCACACCCAAGAAACTTCAGTGAGGTGAGGTAGCCACCAAGGCTCTACATCAAGGATGCTTAAAAGTGTGAAGGCCCTAAACATTGACTATAGCAGGGAGTTATTAGCTGATGAAGGAGGGAAATAGCAATACCACCTGAGGGCTGTTGCACACTATCATGATGACTAGAGGCTACTGCAGGTTGATAATAAGTACCAACGCTAAATTCAACAACCCTGCAACATCAGTGTCATGTACGATGTAGTGGAACCTTCCTCTAAAGGATTGGCCTTCTCAGCCACCACCAGTAAGGGTCCATCACATCTTGTAAATGGGAGGATGCCAATTGCTATAAACACCAAACTTATGTTACATTTGCTTGTGATCATGTTTCATGTCATATTCAAAGAGCAACTGTCAAATAATTAGTTAGGTGGAGATAGAGAACCATTGAAATTGTTCAAAAATAGAATGCAATAAATAATTTTGGCTACTTTGTGTACAAAATTAAATGATTTAAAGCAAAGTTAAAATTTGTAATCCATTGAGTAAGCTTTACCCCCAAGGACATTTTCTCAGGAGCCTGGTAGTATAACATTGTTCCAGAACTGATTATGCATTTCAGCTCAGTATTTCTTGCCAGTATCATTCTTTATATCTCCCTATTCTATTGCATTGCCAAATATTTACATTATTTAATGACATATATTTTTGATTGTACTATAAATGGTTAATGCAGCTACATATATATTATATATATGAAAGAAAGTGAAATCAAAGGTAACTAGCAAAAAAAAATAGGAATGACAAATTTTGGAAAAATTCTATCTTTATTCAAATTTGAAGTATTCTAAATGTAATTGAGGACTACTTTCAGTAGTGCAAAGAAACCTAAGAGGTGATTAGTTAGAGGCTTTTAAAATTATGAATGTTTTTCTAGGTTAAATATGAAACTATTATTACCTCTGTCAGTGACAAGGCGTTATCAATTTAAATATGCAGGGATAGGTTAGGAGAAGTCTAGGGAAAGAATGTATCCGCAGATTGTAGTATTAGCATGAATGGATATTGATTTTAAACTGTATCTAGAAGAGTGAAGAGAGATATTTGGAAAATATCTTTACTTAAAGGCTTCTTACAACATAACATGTTTCAACAAAATAAGAATTTACAGACATCATTACTTTTACATCTTTTAAATGAATATTAAATAAACATTTGAAGCAGAGGAAGCTACAAAGCAATGGAGATAAAGCAGGACAGAGGGCTTCATTTTGGATGCTTCAAATGAATAATGAGTTGAATTGTTTATTTCTGGCATTAAACCTCAACAATTTTGTAGAAAAGGAGGAAATTAGCATATTAATATAAACTCAAATTTTATAAGTGCCTTTATTTAAGGATTCATCTCAGGAATGGGTGTGACAGCTTGAGCAAAGAACTGCTGCAAAGGGGAGATGATAGCATTGTGATAATGTTACTGAACTGATAAGCCAGAGGCAAGTGTTCAAATGCACCAGTGAACCTGGAGGATTTTAAAATTTATTTAATTAGTAAGCCTGGAATAAAATGCTAGCTTTATTAACAATGGTCATTAAACTACTGGATTTCTGTAAAACAAAACACATTTGGTTCGCTGAATATCCTTTGGTGGAGGAAATCTGCAGTCCTTACCTCATCTGGCCTCCGTGTGACTCCAGGCCTACACCAATTTTGTGGATGTAGTGACACAGAAGTTGTATTATAGGATAAGCGATCCAGAATTTCAGGCTAAAGTTTTACGGACATTTGAATTTGAATCTCACAGTGAAATTTGAATTTATTAACATCTGGAATAAAAAGCTATCCTAATGGTGAACATGTAACTGCTGTCAACTGTTATAAAAGCCCATCTAGTTCACTAATGCCCTCTAAGGAAGGAAATCTGCCATCTTTACCTGGTCTGGTCTACATGTAACTAAAGATCCACAGCAATGTGGTGACTTTTTAACAACCCTGTGGGCAATTAGCGATGGGTAATAAATACTGGCTAAGCCAGTAATACCCACATCCCATGAATCAATAAAAAAAATTGAGTTGACTTTTAACTGCACTCTGAAATGGCCTAACAAGCCCCAGATGCAGGTGGTTCACCACCACTGCCTCAACAGCAATTTCAGATGGGCAACTGACATTGGCCTAGCCAGCAGTGCTCACACCTGAAGAGCAAAATGAAAAATAGCTTGTAATCCATCTGAAATGACATTATTTACATAATTTTTGATCAAAACATTATAATTTACATACATCACCATCAATCTTATGGACTGCTTCCCAGTCCCTTCATTAAAATCAATCATAAAGATGGTGAAAAGCTATAGACTTAAAATGGATTCCTGCAGGACTGTACCGGTTACTGTCACCCATGAAGTTGTCCTCCCATTAAAACTGTCTTCTGTCTATGAGAAACCAAACAATTGTTGAAGAAAATGACATTGAGTTGTCCTTATAAAATGATGTTAGGTCTTCTTCTGGGTTTGATACATCTGGTTTTCCGAGCTATTTCTGTGGTAGTTAAGAATGTTAACTACCATGTTAATGTTAACAAAAATGTTAATATGAGGTATGACTCACATCCAGGGCAGACACTAGGCATTGGTGAACTAGTCCGGTTTTTATAATATGGTAGATTCAAGGTTTTTTTAACTGATACTCAAAACATCTTATTTCTAGATTTTTAAAACTGAAGTTTAATTCTTATGCTGTCATAGTGATATTTGTGCTCATGTCCTTTGGATATTAACTCAGGGCTTTGAATTACTAATTGAATAAGATAACTGTTGTTCTACTGTACAATTAACTAAAAGCATTTTTTACAATCAAAATTGCGAAACCTACTAGAATTCTGTCAGCAAGCAACTCTGTCAACCCTTCAAAACATTTGATTAAGCTGATAAAGCCTCACCTATAACTAAAATTAAACTAATGGGCCTATAGTTTCCTAGTTCTGACAGTGTCTTTTTAAACTTATTATATTTTAGACAGTTTTTACATTCTCTCCTAAGTATCTGTTTCCCCTCAATATATAATAGCATTAGTACTTCAGCATTATTTTTAGTAGTGACTCCTGATGAAAAGGTACTATTTAAAGTTTCAGCCTTGGGGCTCAACACAAATCTATCCTGCAGAATATCCAAGCAACTTAAATTTGTTAAAAGTGATTTCTAGAATAATGTCGTTAATATATATTTACTGAGACTGAGAAGTACTTATTGAAGGCATCTGTAAAGTTAAATTTGCAACAGAAAAATACATTCCATTCCCCAGTCCTAACACAGACTCTGAAATGGCATTGTAATCTGCCTGAACATCATACCTACCTTTGCCAAGGAAATTGGAGCACAGAAAATTAGATCATTTTCTTGTCGACAGAACCAATGATGCGGTTTCTCTTTCACAGTAAATATAATGTCTGATGGAATGTTATTTGGACCCTGCATGAATCAAAAGTAATAAATCTAATTTAATCAATATAAAATATGGTTAAAAACTCATAATATGTCATGATTTCATAGTCACATCCATTCTTCAGCTAATCCTGAGAATATTGCAAGAATTTTTGATCAACACTTTTTAATGACAAGGTTCACTGCAATTATTATCAGTACATTTTATGTTGTATTATGCTCTGTGTAGAACCCAGCTAACGTTATCACGAAGGTCCTACCTTCTCAACCTCTCCCCTTGCCTGAGGCATGGTGACCCTCAGGTTAAACTCACCAACAGTCGTCTCTGCCTAATTAGAGAGCAATCCTGTGGTCCTCTGGAGCTATGGTGACCTTACTTTTACTATGCTTAGAGGAAATAATGGTCACATGGGTAAGGGTTCACCAGCCACAAAATATAATTGTGCCAGAAAATGGGAGCACACAAGTGGGACTCACGCACTTTGTGCCTGTCAGTGGTATTCTAGGTACACATAATAATCATGCTCCAAGTTTGTTAAAATGATTCAAGGACATAAGCAACACCATTATTGTTTTTAGAAATGGTATTGGGTGAGGCAGAGGGAAAAATGTGACACCACTAATGAGAACCAAACCTGATAAAGGGGTTTAGAAACAGAAAATAGAGGAAATAATCAGCAGGTCTGGCAGCATCTGGAGACAGAAACAAAGTTAGTTAATATGCTGAATTTTACCAGAAATTACCAATATCAGGGAGTTTCATGGAAAATGTCTCTCTGTGAGCTCTAGCATGTCTTCTCATTCAATTCTCCCCAACACACCCCATAAACTATGGCACTCTGCTTGTGCTATCTTGTCTGACATGAAAGTATTCATTAATGCCAGAACCTCTCAGGATTCCTGAGGGTTTGTTGAGGTAGTCCTTTTGCTTGCCACAACTTTCTGTTCTTTGATCTCTTTCTTCTCCAGGTTCTTTTTTCACTTATTCACAGGAAGCATAGGCAACTGCTCCATTATTTACAAAGTTTCTTAGTTGCTGATTAAAAGCCACAACTTACAGCAACTGGTGTGGAAAAATAAACTGGTTTTCTTCAGGCTTTAAATATTTTACTGGAGAGAAAGGCACACCACCTCCCCTTCTGGTGATCCAGTATTGTTCAAACCCACAAGCTGTTTAGCTATTTAGGAGCCAATCAGATTGTTGCTGTCAAACTGAATCTCACTTTGTTCACACCTTCTAGTGCTGGCCTATTTACAGGCTCCCCTACTGCTTGAACAAGTTCAAACAGCAGCGTAAGCATGACTTACAATGAGCTCTTTAAGTAAGTTTGGAGGTATTAACCATGATGTAGGGCCAGCAAGGACATAGGAACCTCCAGAGTAATGGGGATAAAGCAAATACATCAATGGTAATGTTACAGCTACGAAACATGCCAGTGAAATTATCACTAGATTGTGCCCATGTGTCTAATGTAAATAGACCATACAACAAGGAAAAAAATCTCCGGGCTGCTGGACGGTACATGTGAATGACTAAATGAAAAAAACTGAAAAAAAACTACCAATGCTGTGAATCAGAAACAAGAATAGAAATTGCTGGAAAAGCTCAGCAGGTCTGGCAGCATTTGTGGACAGAAATCAGAGTTAACATTTCGGGGCAATTGATCCTTCCTCAGAACCTGGATATGATGCATATGATGCTGCAGTCCATCATCCTAGGTGAGGTGCTTGCAGAGTTATTGTTGGCCCTGTGAGTGTGAGATAGCAGGGAGAATATGGTCCCACTTATTCTTGCAGAGTGCGGGAGAACTTCTTGCAGAACTGCTAGCCATTCATTTTCACAATGGAGACAGCACAGACCCATGCTACTATTTCTACCAAGTTGTCTGGATCTGATGGGGTGGCCTCTTGCTGCAATCAACCTGGAAGAGGTCTGAGCTTCTTTCCATCACCTTTTTCACCAGGGCTCTGACAGCTTTTTCCATAAAGTGGGAAGTGAGTTTAGTTTTCTTATGATTCTTCTGTGCCCAAAGACTTCTCCCCCTCAATTGTAAACACCCAAGTTGTTAATCTGTTCAGGAACCATTTAGAGATTTGATGTCAAGCTGATGACTTTTAGCACCCACAACTAATCACTATTGCACAAATCCATCAGCAATCTGTTGCTGGAGATATTCCACTATGCACACACACCTCGGTGTGTAAACACAACTCACAATAAACTCCAGTGTCTTGTTGTTAAATGTGCAGTAACTCCTTCCACAGTCCTTCCCATTTTAGTCCACAATCAAAACTAAAGAAAAATAAAAAGGTGTGGTCAATGGATGTTAACAGTGGTCTGGCTCTCACTTTAGCCTGCTTGACAGGTCTTCTTTCGTTTCTGAAATGAGTCATAAACTGTGTCTAGACAAAATAGCCTCCATACTCCATAATCTGTCAATAACCTGACAGCCTGAGTGAAGTAAAGATGGGAACAAGCACAGTTGCACGATGACTGAATTATGTCTCCTGTTAGGCACAGACCTGTATGATGTGTTCCTTGACATCACAAAACAGATGGATGTTAAGGGACTGGAACTCTTTGATTGATAAAGATGCTAGGCTTGTCATGTGGAATACACAAGGCAATGGTGATGTCACCTCTCGCATCTTAAACTCTGGGCAATTCTGGGATGTAGGTAATACCTGATGGTCTCAGTCTACTTCGCTGTCTCCATTGGGAAATTATTGTAGCTTGTCTTCCATGATCCACTGAAAATATGGAAAGTCACTGATACCACCTGTTGCAACCTGAAAGTAGCTTTTGACATAAACCTTTAGGGTTACCATGACAATGGGAGGGGAAAGGAAGAGAGGAGAAGAATCATACAATGCAATCAAGCAAAGTCAACATGGTTTTGTGAAAGCAAAATCATGTTTCACTAATTTATTAGAGTTCTTTTAGGAAGTAGCAAGTAGGCGGATAAAGGGAAACCTATAGGTTACTAAACAAAATAGGAGCTCAGTAGATGGGAATAGAATATTAACATGGATGGAGGTTTAAGTGATTCTTTTTCAAGTTAGCAAGCTTTTACTAGTGGGATAGCATAGGTGTTGGGGCCTCAACTATTTATAATTCATATCAATGAATTTTTCTTTTATTCACTTGTGAAATGCGGGCATCACTGGCTGGCCAAGATTTATTGCCTGTCTCTAGTTGCCCTTGAGAAGCCAGTGGTGAGCTGACTTTTTGAACAGCTACAGTCTTGTGCCAAGGGTAGACCCACAATACCATTAAGGGGGCAATTCCAGGAATTTGACTAAATAACACTGAGGAACAGAGACGAATGGATGAAGAATCCAATGTATGGCAGCTAAATTTGCCAATGACACAAAAATTGGACATAAAGAGGAGATAATCAGCAGAATTTTCCCGTGTTTTGGCTAAGTGTTAATTTCAGGGAGTTTCATGGAGGGCTTCCTTCCAGGAGCACTGGTAACCTTTCTCACACAATTCTCTGCTGTTCATTTTATTAATTATGCAACCCACCACATGGTGCCGCTCTTGCGCAATCTTGTGGTCAACAGAGATGGAACTGCCAGGACATTCTGACATACATGCCATGATCGCCATTTTAAATTCCAACTGTGCACCATTATAAATGTGGCAAGCAAGGAACTAACCTTCACAGTGTATTGTTCTACCACAAACCCAAGGGAGATGAATGGTTCACAAAGGATAGCTGGCACCCTAGTTTGTGAACAGGGAACTGAACATCTTGGTGGAGAAACATCGAAACATAGAAGATAGGAGCAGGAGGAGGTCATTTGGCCCTTCGAGCCTGCTCTGCCATTCTTCACAATCATGGCTGATTGTCCAACTCAATAGCCTAATCCTGCTTTCTCCCCATAACCTTTGATCCCATTCACCCCAAATGCTATATCTAGTCGCCTCTTGAATACATTCAATGTTTTGGCATCAACTAGTTCCTGTGGTAATGAATTCCACAGGCTTATCGCTGTTTGGGTGAAGAAATGTCTCCTCATCTCCGTCCTAAATCGTCTGAATCCTCAAACTGTGACCCCTGGTTCTGGACATGCCCACCATCGGGAACATCCATCCTGCATCAACCCTGTCCAGTCCTGTTAGAATTTTATAAGTCTCTATGAGATCCCCCCTCATTTATCTGAACTCTAGCAAAAACAATCGCAACCTAATCAATCTCTCCTCATATGTCAGACCCGCCATCCCGAGAATCAGCCTGGTAAACCTTCGCTGCACTCCCTTGAGAGCAAGAGCATACTTCCTCAGAAAAGGAGACCAAATCTACATGCAATATTCCAGGTGTGGTCTCAACAAGGCCCTGTACAACAACAACAACATAGCCCTGCTCCTGTACTCAAAAACTCTTGCAATGAAGGCCAACATACCATTTGCCTTCTTTACCGCCTGCTGCACCTGCATGTTTACCTTCAGCGTCTGGTGCACAAGGATACCCAGGTCCCGCTACACACTCCACACTCCCAATTTACAGCATTGTACAGCAGAAGACAGCAGTGTCTTTCTTCAGGACTACCAAAGGAAATCATGGCACTAGATGCTGCCAGCCTGGCCAAAGATGCCACTTGGGTCAGTATCCAAAGTCTTGAGGAACACGCAACATTGATTCAAGAAAGGTAATGAACTTCTATATTCTGCAAGAGTATCTCTGCAACCTCACACTTACTGTAACTCTGCTACTGCACCCACCTCCCACAAAGGTTCATGGTCTATCACACTCTCATTATTGCATGCAGAGACAGAAACCCTCATAATATTTAAGAAGTATTTAGATGTGCACCTGCGATGTCAAGGCATACAAGCCTATGAGCCAAGTGTGGAAAACGGGATTAGAATAGTTAAGTGGTTGTTTTTGACTAACACAGACACGATGGGCTGAAGGGCCTCTTTCTGCCCTGTAGCTCTCTCTGACCTGATGACCTCTATCTTCCCTCAATGACTCTCAGCCACCCAATTCCACTCAAACAGGTAAGTCTATTTGTTCTCT